TTTGAAAAGGGCAGAGCACGATACACATGCTCGGGATAATGAGATGTTTTACAGAAAAGCATTATTCCTCTGCTAAGAAGTGTACATCCACATTCACGTTTTCTATCTGTGAAGGTTCGTCTTTGAAATTAAATTGAGACCATAACCAACATCCCTCCCAGTGCTGCCTGCCCGAGGTTTTACTCAGCAACAAAGCACGGGCTTCTTTTCATCATTCATCACATTTGAGTTCAAGCACCGAGAGGTACTTTTTACAGTGGTGAAAATAGCTTTCTTTTCACAGCAGAAACACAGAAAAATGATCTCCCTCTCGATGCTAATGTAGGGATAAGGCTTATTCTACAGTCGTCGCCCAAAATGCCTTCCTTTGGCTGTGTCGTTGGTGTGTTCTTGCACCAGGAAGGTAGACGTGGGGTAAGGTGAGACGACATGAATTGACAGATTTATTGAGGTATGTGAGTCATTAGAATATTGAGGTACATTTTCAAGTGGAAATCTTGTTCCGTTTTTCTTTCTGCTTCAATGCCAACTGGATACCCCCTTCTTTGAAGTCAGTTGATAAAACCCTTCATGCATTTTATCAATCTTGATCATAGCTTGCTCATTTGGACTTCAGAGCCTTTTGAGTTAAGCCCAAGTCCCTTGCCGGGCTTACCCAGACCTTTGACAAATTTAACTCCTACTTTCCTTTCTAGTACATTCTCCTACTCCCCTTCCCAGAAGCACTGTGTGTCCAGTTTGCTATATTGTCTACTGCTGTTTTGATGGGGCTGGTGCTATCGACCTGAATGGCTTTTCTTCTGCTCTGCTTGTCCTGATATCACTTCCATCCTGGCCCACTGAAATCCCACCCAAACTTTGAGGGACATCTTTAAATGCCAGTGATCCCATGCAGCCTTTCCTAATACCCCTAACCAATTGCGACCTCTTCCCTTTCTCAATAAATGTTCAGTTTCTTAGATTACCAAAGAAAAACCCAAAAACCAAAACCCCAAAAAACCCCACCCAGAACAATGTGCTATATGTCTCTTATGTTGGCACACTCATCATTCTATCTGGGGGGGTACGTTTCTTTGCCGTCATAAACAAAATGTTCCTGATGTTGAAGATGGCTTATTATTATTATTTTTAAATTTTTAAATCTTTATTATGGAAAGTTCAAACCTATACAAAGTAAACAGAAGGTCTTGTTTATTTTTGCGTCTCCTTTGGGACCCATCACAGTGTTTTGCATGTAGCAGAAGTAAATTTAAGTCATTAGGGCAGTAGGCAAATGGAGTGCCTGTCTGCCTATCTCACTCCGTGATTCGTGGGTGGTTAAGCTTTTCCCCTCCGCAACACGCTGGCACACACATAGCCTTCCCACCTGTAGGATCACAATCAACATGGGTTGAACAGTTCACGGACTTTAAAATTCAGGGAAAGTGTTTCATCCTGAAGGTTATTTCAGATAGTTGGCAAGCTAACTATATTTGAGGGGTGAAAACGATCTAGGACTATTTTCTAAGAGAATACTAATCTGGTTGTGCATCCGTGTGATTTTCCCAGTAAGGCACTTTTTTTTTTTTTTTAAACCAATTTGTAATATTTGATGGGTAACTAACAACTAGGAGGGCTGTCTGTCTGAACACACCCGGATCATAGCTTTTCTTTACCTTGCACTGTTAGCTGACACAAACCACAAGCATCCTCACGAGAGGTCCTTCCCTTCCCCCACACTTCAACCTTGGGACTCCTGTCTATAATTTTGGACATACTTTTTTTTTTTTTTTAAACTTGTGTCTACTTAGCCCGTTAATTTCTGCTATTACTGTGTGTGTGTGTGTGTGTAAGCAATGAAATCCTGAAAGCGAACCAGAATTCTAGAGTGATAGATCGCACGCCCATGCTGTGTCATATCCAATTAACTCAAATTGACTGTATAGTGCATTATTCTGTGAGTGCATGGAAGATCAATAAATATGGGGACCGTCCACCCCAGCGCCCCACTTTCCCATCCGATTCTCGTAGATCGGTGGCAGATCACGCTACTGTGATGTGGACGCCACAGCCCAGGCAGGCAGGTGGTGCACAGACACCATTCAAACTTGGCCTATTCAATCTCAACGCCTCTAACTCGCCATTCATGCATAGCAAAACACCATCTGGTCCTATTTTGCCTCCAGCAATCACAGCTGACCAAAACCGATAATAACAGCTGTTGCAAAACAAAAGCCAAACAAAGGGGGTGGGGGTGGGGGTGGGGGTGGGGGGGGAGGAAAGGTTAGACTGAAGTCCAGTGCTGAAAAATGCTCCATGAAGTGAGTTACAGGAAAGAAACCATTCAGAGGTCTGAAGCCCGCTGAATGGACACAGCAGAGGACTTCTACTTAAACTTGAGATAGTAATCCATCTGTCTAGAACGCCTTCAAACCTCCGTCAGGTGGTAATAATATATGGCAGAAATTATGCTGCACGAAGGCATTTAAGCTTTTGTTCTTTGAGTTGAGAACTAACGACCCCGTGTCAGCTAAAAATGAGAACCCCCTTATGCTCCTCCATCATATGGCGGTGCAGGTTAATGCGAAAAAGGAAACGTGTTTAGCAGGAGTAACCTGGCAGGGGGAGAGAAAAGGTGTGCGTGATGGAGATGGGGGGGGTTGTGAGGTGAGGGGTGCGTGATGGGGGGTGGGTAGTGCGCAGGAGCCTCCTTAATGCCCGAGACCCCTTAGGAGGGGAGGCAGTTAGACCGTTTAGAAATCCCACTAATCAGTTACCACATTTCTCGCGCCTTATTTTTCATTGCCCTGATTTATTTCTGACCTGTAACCAAAGCAGCACAGCAAGTACTTACTGACGTTTCAGGACCAGAAACCAGTCACATGTATAAACTGAAATACAGGTTGTTCCATAATATGCTTTAGCGAATCCTGAGAAAAATAATCGGGTGACAAGGTTGGAGAAGTCTTTTCATGATTCAAGCCTTTTGACATTTTAAACATACAGTTTTGCCTGATGATTAATTTTCCTAAACTGTAGTCATTAAACTATTTTTTTCCCCTTGAAATGGACCGTCAGTGGCTTAGCAGCGTTTAATCAAATGTGATAAAACCCAAGATTTATAAAATCATTTAATAGATGTTGCAACACCTGCTTCTAACTGCAAACAGTTGAAAACAGACTTCGCTTGCAATTAAGTCTTATCACCAGTGACATTTTTTTTCCCAAGCAATACTTCATGGGTTTTCAAAATGACTATGACAAAAATACACAATTACTGTCACATGTAGTTTAGCAATTAATTTTGAAGACATTTGTCTAAAGGTTTCACAACAGAATATAAAATGGTTCTTATTGTTATGTAATGTTAGTTTCAATTCACAGAAAATCTCTTACCATCAGCTCTGCTTCTGATGGGTCCGAGGCAGATCATTTCTTTGTGGAACACAATTGCCTTCTTGTAGATGTGATTAGGCACCGTTCTAAGACTGTTTGAACACTGATACCTGTCAACTAATACATCTTATGAAAAGCTTCAATTTAGACATAAATTTTCCTACAGCAAGAAATCTATAAATTTATAATTAGAATCTCTTGCTGTTCAATATTTGTACATAATACAGAGTACAAGAGGATTATGAAATATTGAAAGCTGAATTCATTATTCATAGCCCACAACATACAGTAAATATTCTTTGAAATACAACAACAACTTTGAGGAATCCATATCCCGTTCTTTCTGAATGTCTCACGCACAGGAACTGTGGACACCATAACCCACACCCTCATTTTTGCCAGATTAGGATTCTGGTCAGGGTTGACACTTTTTGTTTTTAATTTTCATTTTATCATAAGCAGTTTAAGACTGTTGCCAGTGGTAATTTGCAATTTTTATCAAGACCTCTTCATTATAGCTTCTGACAGGACAGATGCTGTAATTAATCATGCAAGACAACTGGGGATAGTGGTTCACACTGTTCTCAAAGAGGAGCCACTACAGAGCAAGAAAAGGGGGGAAGAAATGAACACTGAAATAATTATTTTCACCATCCTTTTTAATAGCAATAACACAATGCCGTAAGTTCTAGCCCCAGACAGAGGACAACCGCTTTTTCCTCTATACTTACCTTGACACTTGCATCTTAACAAAATGATCATTTAAAAAAAAAAAAAAATTCCAATTTTCTTAAGAGGTCCTGGATTTAGACCATACGATCCAAATTCCTAGCAACGAATATCCTATTTCCAACTGAACACAGAAGATGATGCTTTGGCTCAAATAAATGTTGGTATGTGGCGTCCTTTCCCATCATATACGTATTCAAGGAATCGAAAGTGAAATTTGACATATCATTTTATTTGAAAAGTGAACATTTTCCTGGTTGTTGCATCAAAATACAGTCCACAGTTTTTACTGAAATGTGTTTATTCTATAGCAAGATAAAAGCATTTTTGTTTTAGTTAAGCAAAATACAAACAACTTAATTGCTGCTATCATAACTCATAAAAAAGTATAAAACAGCATAAAAACACAATAAGCAACGTAGCAATGAATGGTTTATGTCACCAGTGTTTACGTTAAAGCCTCGTTTATGAAAACTTTACAACACATGATATGAAAACTTACAACTTTGAAAGAAAATATTTACATTGATTATTCAGATGTGGTGCGTTTTTTAAATATTCTACCGGTATCACATCATAATAAAAACTCTTGCATTTTTTTTAAATCTTAACTTTTTGTAATAACTGTTTTCATTTAAGTGCATTTCCCTTTTTAAAAATACAGTGTTTTTATTTTTCGAAACTTGTCACTCAAAACACAGAATATAATATTCACATTCTTTTCCTCTAATTGGAATGAGTATAATGGGCTAACAGTGGCCATAGATATCGTTACAACATATACTGTGGTCTGATTTGGAGAAGTCATGGGTTAAAAAAGTGGAAATGAGTCAATAATGGAATCTAATCACTTGCATTTTTTTTTTTTCTTTTCTGGAGAGATTTAGGAAAAAAAAATAAGAGCTTTGGCAAAAGTCTGTGATTTACATTATTTTTTTTTCATGACAAAAAATGCCATCAACGATTCACGTCATACAAATGTTTGTATGAAGCCGGATCTTCATATTTCAGGTAATTAGGACTGTGCTTTTTATTTTTTTAGGGCTCCGGAAGTTCAAATAGCCTCGAAGTGTGGTTTATTCACTTCTGGGGGGAAATAAGGCCGTTTTCTATGACTCAGAGAGGCCAGTCTACAGTCATCACTATGTCCCAGGATTCGTTAAACTGTTTGATTCACATATTGTAGGTATATAGCCTGAATAAATAAAAAAAGGCATCACATAAAAGAGCACAGCTTCTCTTGTTTAAAAACAAAGTGATTTATAGTCAGCTAGAAGATGATACTCAGCTACACTGTGTTCTTATTGCCTATCTAATAGACACTTGAGAGGACCATGTGATCTGTTACACGTTTCCGCGTCACCGACAGCAACTTACGAGCCGCGGCCGCGGGCGCGCGGCGGACCCTCCTTCCGTGCGCCCGCCGCAGAGCGCACCTGCCTCTGCCGCGGGCTTCTTCAGAAAATACTGACCTGCGACAGTACTTGAGTCTGTGTCTGAGCCTGTATTTGCGACTGGTGCTGCTGGGAGGCTGGCTGGGGGCTCCCGAGGGCGGGGAGGGGCGACGTCATCTGGGAGGCGGCGGGGGAGTGCTGCCGGGGGGAGGGCTGGGACGGGTGCTGCATGTGCTGCAGCTGCTGCAGCTGCATGTGCTGCTGCAGCTGCTGCTGCAGCTGCTGCTGGCTGATCTGCTGCTGGAGGTGCTGCTGCTGCTGCTGCTGCTGCAGGTGCTGCTGCATGTGGTGCTGGAAATGCTGCTGCTGCATCTGCTGCTGGATCTGCTGATGCATCTGGTGCTGCTGCAGTTGCTGCTGCTGCATCTGCTGCATCTGCTGCTGCTGCTGCTGTTGCTGCTGCTGCTGCATCTGCTGCTGCATCTGCTGCTGTTGGGTTTGCACGGAAGGGCTCACTTGGGTGGAGGAGGCTGAGCCCACCAGGGTCGCTCCCATGGAGCTTATCAGCGGGGCCCCAATGTTCGATGGCATGTTGGCTGCGATAGTGACCGACGCCACGATCTGGTTCATGGGGAGTCTCATGGTTAGGGGTTTGGGGGCGATTGACCGAGGGAGCGATTGTTGGAGAGTCTGAGGGGAGGCCGACACGGTTGCGTGTTGCGACAGCGGAGGGTTGAGAAGGAGCGAGGATGTCAGATTGGTGGACGCCAGGGTCTGCTGAACGGAGCGGATGGTCTGGGCTTCTGCTGATTCAGCAGCAGCCTGCATCGTTGGGGAGAAAAGTCCCCAAATATTAAGACAGCCAGAGACAGACAGATTGAACTGTTTTTAAGTACTGTAAATGGATTTTTTTTTTCAAAGATTTTATTTATTTATTCGAGAGAGAGAGAGAGAAAGCGAGAGAAAGCATGAGAGGGGAGAAGGTCAGAGGGAGAAGCAGACTCCCCGTGGAGCTGGAGCCTGATGTGGGACTCGATCCCAGAACTCCGGGATCATGACCTGAGCCGAAGGCAGTGGCTTAACCAACTGAGCCACCCAGGTACCCCTGTAAATGGATTTTTAAAACATGACTGCCGTTACTCATTCTTCCCTAGACCCAAGTCTCTGGTCATGTGACTTTTTAGCTTCCCCTCCCCAGAGGGAGAGTGAAATCCCCCACCCCTGGGATCTTGGCCAAGCCTGGTCCCTTCTAATCGCTCTGGGAATCCGCCATCACCATGTGTGTGGTAAGGGACATACGGCCCAGTCACCACTCGGAAGTCAGCCCAGCCCCCACGAACCTCCAGGCTGACTGCAGACTGAGAAGCAGGACCAGCAGATCCTGTGGGGCCGAGACTGCGTAACTAGCCAGTTCTCTGGTACCCTCTGAGATAAAGACTCCTCTGTTTTGGGAGTCTTTGGGGCTGGTTGTTACACAGCACGATGTAGCAAAAGGTGGCTGATACACTTCTTCAGCAGTTAAGTCTGAGCTGACCTGCATCACTAAGAAGCATATTGAAAGAAACAGAGTATTGACTGCCTGCATTCCAGTTGCGCTCAACTAGTTAACAACTTTGTGACTTTGGGCAACTTAATGTGCCCATCTGTTCCACACTTTCCTTACCTACAAAATGAGGTTCTATGGCATTTACCTTACATAGAGGTTTTAAGCATTAAACTGACTCATATTTGTTAAGCATTTAGAATAGGACCTGGTCTACAGAAGCATTTAGCATATGTGAGTAATTTTTATGAATTAACAGTTACTATTATCAGAAAGCCACGACTCGAAAACATCAGGGTTCTGCACGGGCATAGCAGTGTGGGACCGTGCTCACGTGAATGTAAGAAAAATGTAACTCAATTCTGCAGAGATACTAAATGGAAGTATAAGAAATATAAGAAATTGTTTTAGTTGACCTGGTATTTTCAAAGATCTCCACAATTTACCACAGGAGTCCTAGATGAGGGGAGAATGTTCAGCACTCAGGTGATCCCATAACCTCTCACAGGATAAGAATAACTGATCTGATGTGAGGCTCAACGACAGAGAGAAATGACCTATTACATTCTGCACTGAACATACACAAATATAGCCACAAAAATAAATACTTTTACTCATGCAACGGTGATGGACATAATTGTGCTTACTATTTTTTCTTATTTGTCACAGAATTAGGTGTTTCTGGAGGCATCGAGCTGATATCCAGTCTCGTCAGTGATACGGAATGCTTACTTCCAGATTTGTATTACTCACATTTTAAAAATCTACTGTGAGAAGGAACCTGAGAGGTGATCTTGTATTGGAAATCACTCAGTGTGGGAGAAGCCAAGGCTAATGGCTTCTGTTTGAACACATTATCATTGTAAAGCACCATGCACCCATGGACAGCTCTCTGGTTTCGTGCAGAGGCTTGGTGGCCTCGCATGCCTACTGGAGGGGCACATGCTAAAGCCTTAGGGTAAGAAGAAACCTGCAAAGACTCATCCACCATCTTAAAAAACCGTTAAATCACCCATAAGGTAAAATACACACAGTGTGGTACATATTCACAAGAAAATAATTCTTATATACTCTAATGTTTAAAAATCACCCAGCTAGTCTTAGTATGAAACTACAAGGGAATCTATATTTAGACACCTGGGCAATCATACCCGTGTGCCTTTCAGATGCCACCCTAGGGGCGAATAGAAATGAGTAGATGAAAGAGGTCTTGCTTGCCTGCCAGGTTTACTCCCTTATGTTTTACTATTAGGCTATTAATTTTTGTTGGTTGTTGGGAAGATTAAAAGTAATATAGTACAGTGGCGCCTGGGGGCTCAGTGGGTTAAAGCCTCTGCCTTCGGCTCAGGTCATGATCTCAGGGTCCTGGGATCGAGCCCCGCATTGGGCTCTCTGCTCAGTGGGGAGCCTGCTTCCTCCTCTCTCTCTGCCTCCATCTCTGCCTACTTGTGATCTCTCCCTCTTTGTGTCAAATAAATAAAATAAAATCTTAAAAAAAAAAAGTAATATAGTACAGAAAGATCTCAAGAGAGGGGGCCCAGGCTCTGAATGTAGGGGCAAATGTTAAATGCATGTATGATGCAACCCTACTCACGATTTCTAATGAACATTGAATTTTTGCTGCCCGTGACCTCATTCCTTGGATGAGATCTTCTATCTGGGGCACAGAGTTCAAACTTGGGCTTCCCACATGATGGCCTTTAACTTGAGGACCAAGATCACATGCCCCCGAGTCTCTGCCCCCATGATTCTTTCAATTATTTGAATATAGTCTGATTTTCAGTCTTTACCATCATGGAGGCAACCCTCCAGAAGGGTTTTCAGCTGGTTACCATTCCTTTTTAAATTGTAGGGGCCAAAACAGAATGAATTCTTCAGATGTGGTCTCATCACCACGCGGTACAACGGATACTGCTTCATGTGAGCTCACCACTTTGGACGCTATCTCATACGTTTGGTTCAGACTGAAATTATTCGGAACATCTACCTCAAGGACTATCTTAGTTCCTGCTAGGGCTCTGAATATAAATTAAGGATGCTCTCAAACTGCGCTAACTTAATGAAAAACAAAACAAAACAAAACAAAAAAAACCCAACAAACACTATTTTAAGATTTTTTTCCTTTTAAATTCCATCTTACTGGTTTTCGGGAATCACTGACTTCCATTCGGAGCTACTTCTGAATCCTGATTCTGGAACACATATGTAACTTTCACAGTACCCCTTCCACCTTAGTGACAGACTCGATGAGTCCAATCGTGGTTGCTGTTTCCCGAATGCCTTTTGAGATACCCGCTCTTGGCTGAAATCCACGTGTGGTCAATTATTCATGCTCTAATGCACAAAGATCACCTATTCCTGCTTCTGGGTAAATGAATGAATAAATGATCCACTTAGGAAGTACATGTACACTGTTCCTATTCACGTCACCCCATCTCATTAGCCAACTATATACCTCCCTTCTTAACATCTGTAGCCCACACATTCGGCTGTTGTCTGCCAATATGCAAATCTGAGGCCAGGACTGGTACATCTTACACGATGGGTCTTGCAGTGCCTCAGATAAAGGTTTTACCATTGACCTGATGAATGTTTTCTCTTTCTAATGAAGTGGAAGGTGTCCTAACAGCTGGCAGTGGAAAAAAGGGAGGACCTCTCCTGATCTGATTTGAGCAGCTGCCAATGGTACATCTTAATATAAAGAAAAAGCAGCTCAGGCGAGGAAGAGAAAAAAAGGAATGACACCCTTTCTAAATGGCTTTGCTGGCAACGCCTACCATGCCTTGTAGCCCTACGTGGTACCTGAGGCAACGCGCAAGATGATGGAATGGAATGCCCGATTGCCAGAGGAAATACATCAAGAGCAAAAACATTAGTTCAAGTTATTCTCCCCAAAGCCTCTCTAAATTCTAGGAAGGCCAAAGACAAAGTTAATTAAATCTTAAAATATAACCTAATAGCTCATGCTCCTTTTGGATCAAGGTAATAATAATCTAGACTGACATTTGCTTTGGGATACTGGTGCATTTTATAATACACCAAGGTCCATTTTATACTCTATGTATAATACATATACATGTCTTTTTTTTTTAAGTACTTGGAGCATAATTTTATTTTAAATAATCATGAGGTTTATTTATTTATCTGATGGGGAACAGTTTGGTCAAAAATGCGACACCCCCTATTACAATAATATAACCACTGGAGAATTTACTTTAGGATGTCCCAAATATGACCAAAACACCACCTGTTTAAACAGAGGACATTCGCATAGATCTCAGTCCCCGACAAAAAGCAAAGATAAAGAGGCTATTAAAAACCTGTCTACCTTATTTGTGTCGTTAAATAGTTTCAACACGCAGAAAGAAAGACCACAGAATCTTCTGGAAACAACTCAAGATTCAGCAGCTTCCATTAACTCCTACTTTCTGGGCCATCACTGTGGTCATCTCTCATGGAAATGAGTTTATGAGTTGTCCAAGATGTCTTTTTTTTTGTCAACTCTAAGGGGAGCTGCCTTGATGTTTTCAACGCCCAGGGGGTGTTCTCAACGCCGTGACTCAGAGACCCGCCATCCCCACGCAGGCTTACCTTAGAAACGAGGCTGGCCCGGTATGCGGCCAAGGCCTTTAGGTACTCCTTTTTGGCAGCTTCGGTTTTCCTTTTATACACCTATTAAAAAAAGACCACAATTAGCACCACCTTTAGCACACAGTTTCTCAGCCATAAAATCACAGCCACGCAAATGAGGTCACAACTGAACTCACCGAAAAAGTTGGTCTGTGTGGCTTTGATTTTCAAATGTGAACACACACACACACACACACACACACACACACACACACAGACATATTAAAACAAAACCCTGCCATGCTCATTAGAGCACAATCTTGATGTTTCCAATGATAAATGGAAACAAGATTTCCAGTTGTAGCACAGATACCTTGAGAGAAACAGTGGAAGGCCTCACGCTAGGGCAGGAGATAAAGTGCAAGAAGAGTCAAATTGGCTACCAAGTATAAAATTACAGAAAATCGCAAGTTTCTCCATCAGTGCCTCCTTTCCCTCACACATATTTCTAACCCGCACCAAATCAGAGGATTTAAAGACCAACCACAACAGGTACGTGTTGTGAAGGCACAAGAGAAAAGAGGAAACCACCTTGGGTTTCTTTGGAAGGAAAAAAAAAAAGTCAGGAATGAGAAATTTCCGTTAGTGAGGCCAATGAGTTACATAAACAAGTCCCAATATATTAAATGTGATGGGCGCTTCCTTTTCTTAACGGTGTCTGATGGCCGTCTGTTAGACCAAAATGCAACCATCTTTCCGGAGATAAAAGAGGTAGGAGTCTGCCAGTCCCCTTAGGATTACATTCCGGGGACAGAAAATCAGTGTGCCACATACAACAATAAATGGTCAAATTCTACAGCTGCACTGCACCATCCCAAGCTAGTAGGAATGAGGTCATGATTTCTAAAGAAAAATCAAGGATTTTCCCCCCATGTTCATTTCTGAGATGGTGATTCTATTTTGTTACTAAGAGAGGTCCATTCATCTGAGGACATGGAACGTCCATTCCTACTAATCGTCATTGGGAGTTTCACACAAGGAGCAAGGAAGCCATTCTTCCTCTCTGTTTTTGGCGGAGATGCTGTAAGGGGAAGCCCAGGAGTCCAGACCCTAAGGAAGTATCTCCTGCCAGCTTGGCTAATCACTCAATACCTCTCATATGGCCGAGCTTTTCAATGACCTTGGAATAAAATTTCAAATGCCCAGTGATGGTAGTGAGACTCGCGGAGGTGGGTTCAAAGTTTGGAGACCCACCAGGACGGCATAAGGGTTTGGACAGATGATCAAAGAAAAGACAAGAGGGATGGACCTAATCCCTTTGTAGTGCCCTTTCTGAATAAAGGGGGCAAATTTCACATTACTTAAAATGAAAAGATGATCATCAAAATTTAGGTGGGCAGGATGCCACCTGAATTTCCCCAGTTCTCCTCTGAATGGGTTCTGAACACGCACCCTTAAGGGGGACCGAGAAATCCATATAACTGGAGAGGGGCTTGGATTTACTCAACTGTGTTTCTAAATTCCATAGCTTAGAAAGGCCTTGATGAGAAACAGTCATATTAAGTGAACTTTCATGCAGGAAAGATGTAAGAGGGGCGCCTGGGTGGCTCAGGCTTAAGTTAAGCGTCTGCCTTTGGCTCAGGTCATGATCCCGGGGTCTTAGGATCAAGTCCACATGGGGCTTCCTGATCAGTGGGGAGTCTGCTTCTCCCTCTCCCCTTTGCTCCCTCTGACCCCCGTTCATGCTCTCTTTCTCTCTCAAATAAATAAATAAATAAAATCTTAGAAAGAAAGAATGGAAGGAAGAAAAGGAAAGGAAAGGAAACGAAAGGAAAGGAAAGGGAAAAAGTCCAGGAAATACTCTGGTGACTTTTTCCTATATGGCCATGCTGGGTCTTTACCTTACCTGCTTTTGTTCTTCTCCAAGGCTGTCCCACATGGATGCCACGATTTTTGAGACCTCTCCAAAAGTGGCATTGGGGTTTTGCCCTTTAATTGCAGCCTGTGTGTCCCTGAAAAACAGGGCATATGCTGACACTGGCTTCTGGGGCTCGTTGGGGTCTTTCTTTTTCTTTTTCTTTGGAGTCTTGGGCTTCTTGCCAGTATCTGGAGCAGCTCTTTTCTCTCCAATGGCCTGCAAAGCAGGAAGAAAATTCACTGCTTAGAATGTCCTTGCAGAGAAGGTGGCAAGACCTACCCAGGTCCGCAACTGTACTGTGAAGGTTTTGTTCAGCTGATTCATCAATAGAGGAATCCCCAGCAAAAGCAGGGGAGGGGTGAGTTTTCTTAGAGTTAACTGGACAGCAGAGATTAGCATTTAGAACATTGATTAATGAGACCCAGAAGTATCTTCAATACATTCACAACATATGCTCTAAATAGCAATTATGAGTAATGAAAAACAGAACAGTCTCTGTACCAGGCAAAGACGTGCGTGCGTATGTGTGCATGTGTGTGTGTGTGTATGTGTGTGTGTATGCATTCCATGTATACACATACAATATTTTACATTTTCAGAGGCTTCAGAAGTAACTGTAAGTAATTCAGGATGTTGATCTTATCCAGATATTTTAAATGAGGTCCCTGGCCATAGTCACATGAATCGACTTTCGCAAAGTTTCATTTTTTTATTTTACCAGAATGTTACCTTGCTCATGGGTCTCCAGAAACTAGCAGAAATTAGCTACAATCCCCGAGCTTGCACAATAAAAGAAAAGTCATCTTTATTTCTTTAAGTCATGATAACATTCGAAACAATAGGCTAACAAGAACTATAAAAAATGTCAAAATTCCTTTAACTGGAGATAGAGAGGAAATTTTCTTCATTAAAATTAAAAACCTCTAAGAGTGCAATGATTGTTAAAATCACCAAGGCTGAAAAGAAGACTGATAAGAAAACAGTCCCACGGAAAGTAACTCTGTTCAAAAGCTGACTGCCACAGGGACAGTAAGTGCCTCACACATAGTTACCATAGGTACGCTCTGAGATCAAGGCCACAGAAATGACCTGGGTATAACTCTCCACTTTCATATACCCTGGAGCTCCAGATTCACCTGCTACTCCCATCATCTAATTTCAGTGATCATATAATATACTTATTAGAGAGGCAGGAGGAAAAATTTATCAGCCTTGCATTCTCTCCCTAGATTACAACAGGACTGAACTGAAGATCATTTTGTAGCTAACTTCATCGGGAAAGCTGAAATATGTGACAAAATCGGTTTTAAAAGCCAGCCGTGGGGAAGATCAACAGAGATAGACTCAAGTTACTAACAGATTGGTTTTTTAATGGCCTTGAGTCTCGGATCCTAAATTCAAATTTTCCGAGAGTATCATTACCTCCTGAATGAGAGTCATTTGGAACTTAATCCGATTACTAAAATTCTTAAGGAGAAGACTGTGAAGTAACTTGTCTCTGAGAGCTCTGAACCCTCAAGATGGGGGAGAGCCATAAGTCTACTTCTCTGTGAACCCCCCTCGAGTCATAACAACTGTGTACTTCACACAAATAGTTTACACACCTCCAATGGTGGTAAGCCACATCTCAACTCTCCTCCAAAATGCCATCTTTCATAACTCACGATTAATTCAATCATTTTCAATAATGGTCTTTTTTTTTTCTCTAAATTCTCAGGATAAATGAGTCTTATTTATTTCTAGTTAATGAATCTGAACTTTTAAGAGACTCGGATTCTTTTCAGTTAGAGACTGAACAGGAGCCAAGTTTTCCTTCAGTGAAAAATATCACTTTAGCCCCACAGGAAAAAATATATATATAGGGACACAGATTTTTCTAATTGAGTCCAACAACTATACTGTTTTCCTGGAAGAAAAGTTGATACTGTTGGCACCAACAATGCCCCAACTGATGGCAAGGTGAGAGTAATTTCCAGGGCAGCTCGATCTCTCTCTCTGTAAACCAGCATTCCATGGTGACAACCTTTGATATTTCCCTTGGATAACCATGACTTGCCCTAATCATCATTACCTTTGAAGAGTAAACCTGAAATGAAGAATCTCACAGTTTAAACAGAAGCTCAGAATTAATTCTCCAAAGGAAACCTGAGCGTTGGGGAAGGGGGAAGGTGGAAGGTGGAGTTTACCCTCAATGATGATTTTAATCTTTCTTTCTCAGCTCAGGTGCTTGGAAGATAACCAATTGGATTCTGTGCCTTTACACAAAACCTAGACGCTTGCTTACAACGGAGTAAGCGAGGAGTCGCAGATAAGGTTCTCCTTAGCCAGGACAATTTCAGAGTGGTACAAAAGTGAGTAGAAGATCTGTGGCCATGTGAGTGAAATGAAAGGAATCCATGTGACTTGTGTCCTGGCCAGTTGTAACTTAGCAGGGCCTTTTTCACATCTCCTGAGTTTCTTTATAATCATTGTTCTCAGGTCACCTTCACAGAAATCTGTGAGCAGAGACTGTTAATACATTAATGCATTGACCCCATCTGTGTCCAGCAGGGTGCTAACATGTCCAGTGAGGTGCTAACATGTCCAGGGGGTGCTAATGTGTCAGGACAGATCAAACCCTTCTTCTTCCAATCCCTGCAATATATTCTTACCTCCCTTCCCTCCTCTTCCTCACTTTCAACCCTCTCTAGTTCCTCTTCTTCCATTTGCTACTTAAAAATAAATGATGCCCAGGGCTCTGGCCTTGACTTGTTCCTTACACACACTGAGAAATCCCGATTACTTCCATATCTTCACATCTAGGTGCTGATGGTCCCCAAATGTGTAGTCCCACCCCCCATGAACTGAGTTCTAGACTCAAACATGGCTGCTTTGATTTCAACCCAGACCATGCCAAACTCTCATCTTCTCCATGGGAGAAAAAGTAACACTCCTCTTTCTGGGCCAATTCTCTCATTCCCTAATAATCCTTGCTGGCTCTCATACTAAAATCCCATTTATCTTTCATGCCTTCAAATCCCAGTGGATTACCAATCCCAGTGGATTACCTCATGATTCTCCCTCTTACTTAAAAGTCTCGCTCATCTGGTACCTCCTGTCCATTCCTTCCTTGGCTAAAAGGAAACACTTCATAGCAACTGTTGATCATTTCCTTTCCTCCAGTCCCTCCCTCTGTAATACATTCTCTACACAGCCAAAGCCATCTTTCTAAAGCATGAGTTGCTTATGCCCCTCCTCTGTGCAAATAATTAATCAGCTCTCAACTACCTGCAGGAGAAAGGCTACCACATTTCAGCGACTGCTTTCTTCAATTCCTATTTCTTTCTTCCCCACATCAAACTGTTCATGATACTCATAAATTGACGTGTACTTCCACTGCTCCCTCGACCAGAATGCTGGCCTCTCTCTTCTGCCTCACAAACTTTTATGTATCCTCTTAGACCTAATTCAAATATCACCTTCTCAATAAAGTCTTCCTCAAATCACTCTCCCAAGCAGAATCGATTACAATCTTAGCACACCAAGATACATCAATTATACCTCTAATCACATCTAATCACACCTGGAGCTAGTATTAAACATTGCTTTTCATCCCCAGTGGGGAGTCCCCCAGGTAGTAATTCTCTTATAAATCTTTATATCACCAGAACCAAGTAAAAGGCCAAGCACAGAGTAGGCGTACAAAATATGATGAAAAAGGAAAGTACCCAGGACAGGTAACTTTAATGAAACAGAATACCTTTCTAAGCACTCAGAAAAGTCCTCCCTGAAATTAAGTTTTGATTTCAAACCATGTATATTTGAATTATCATTCTCTATGAAAAAAGCAGAGATGTGGAATGATTATAACTTACTAAGTGATCAACACAGAAGGTGTAAGCCTGTCAAATATGACAGTGGCTCAGCCAACTAAGTGGATGAACCTTATCCACATGAACATTAACCCAGAATCAGAGCACTTCAGAACTCCTGGGGAATCTAGCGGAAGTCCTCCCTTCCGCAGAATGGGAAAATCACGCCTATAAGAGTTAAGTGACATTTCAATGCCTTATAACCAGTAGGAGAAGCCAGATCTCCCAATTTCCAGTGGAATACGCTTTTTCACAGAAAACAAGTAAGTAAAAGAGAGAAGAAAAAAATTAAACTGTCATGAATTTAAATGCTAGCCAAATGCAGAAAGAAGGTAATACCATGAGTGAAATTCGAAGACACAGCATGGGGTGATTCCAAGTTCTTAGGTAGTGACATAACGAAGGCAGTCAGTCAACTTACTCTGTTGGATTCATCACCATCCTCTTCATTGATGGAGCTGGAAGGGGAAGGGGTCGCAGACTTGCTCGCTGGTGGTGAAGGAGACGTGTGTGGCATACTGGCACCTCCCAAATTCAACCCCAACTGGGCGCTGAGCTGAGACTGGTTGATGGTGGTGAGCTGAGTGGGAGGCATGATCCCAGAGCGAGCAGCATCAGTCATGTGGACGATGGACCTCATGATCAAGGAGTGATCCTGACGGTACTGGGGCACTTGTGTGTGGCTCTGGTCCTAAAAAGACAACAGACAATGGTGGGGGTGGGGGGGGGAATCTTAGTCTTCCCAAGTATCAACAAGCTGAAAATGTTAGCACTGGTTCCTTAGATAGGTCTGACCTAGTCCAGGATGATAGTCCCTGTTCATTAACTCTAAGGACTCATGCCCCAAAAGTTGAAAGGTCAAAAGCACAAAGCCCAAATGGTCCAGCCTCATTAGTCTATTTCACTCTAGAACTGTCACTGAATGACTTTTAAAGAAAATAATAAAAGACCTGGCAGTGAAAGAAAACGTCCAACTCTTATGGAGGAAATGGGTAAGAAAGGGTTGAAGCAGAGGCTCAGGCCTTTCTGGCTCAGCAGTTGGTCTAGTCCTCCATCCTTCTCACACACACTTTCTAGCTCCATTCCCCTTGACCCAGCTCTGTGAAGGAAAGTGAATCCAGTCTTTATTTTATCCTTCCGGGAATGCATCTGACATGTAGAGAGGACGGGCTTAGGGAAGCAGAGAGCCAACATCTGTTTGCTTCAGGGCACCCTTTCTATAAAACCCTCTGTGGTTAACCAGAGGGTCATTCCAATTCTGAATTACATTGTCAGAGGCATCTGGAAGTCATTCAATGTCTTTGGAATTGGATATCACTTTCTTCTTCTTAAACCTGCCTTGTTTTCTTTCCTTCAACCCGCCATGATTTAATGGGCTAATGGATTTTAAAAATATGTATAAGGAGGAGGTAGAGATCGTCAGAATTAATTTCTCTGAAAATTACTGCAGTCCCTTCGAAAGTAGCCTTCTGTTTTTGGCAGTCATGTAAAAGGCTGTAGAGTTGTTGCCGCTGCTTCTTTTTATAATTCCAAAGAATCAAAAAAATGAAGACATGCTTTCAAACAACTTACTTTAAGACTTGTCATTAAGTGTGAGTCTGTGATTTTTACTGAAGCCAAATTCTCTTGACTCACAGTCACCCAGAATCCAATTCTATACACAAGCCTACAAATTTTTAAGTGTTCTTCTTTTGAGTCTTTCCAGTAACTTATTTTTGCTTTTTAAAGAGGCAACAAAATGAGTTGTAAATATCTAAATTGGAACATTTGGTTTCTTAATATTAAATATATAAATGCCACTAAGTAAGAAGCCATAGCTATCAATACGGAACTGGTTGAATAAATTATGATCTACCATACTACAAAGTATTATGAGGCTTTTTAAAATAATGAATTAGATTTATGTGTATTGACTTAGAACAGGGTTTCCAATCTTGGTTCTATTGACATTTTGAACCAGATAATTCTTTGTTGTGGGGCTGTCCTTTGCCTTGTGGGATGTTGACCGCAATCCTGGCCTCTATTAGATGCCAGTAGCAACCTCTCCCTCCCCACCAGTCATGGCAATCACAAATATCTCCAGACGTTTCCCTTGAGGGACAAAATTCTCTCACCTGAGAACCACTGACCTAGAGTGATATCCCAGCTATCATAATTGAAAAAATGAGTTGTAAAATAATTAGAGTATAGCCCCTCTCTCTTTTTTTTTTTTTTCAAAGAAGTATCTAGGGGCACCTGGGTGGCTCAGTGGGTTAAGCCTCTGCTTTCGGCTCAGGTCATGATCTCAGGGTCCTGGGATCGAGCCCCGCATCGGGCTCTCTGCTCAGCAGAGGAGCCTGCTTCCCCCTCTCTCTCTGCCTGCCTCTGCCTACTTGTGATCTCTCTCTCTCTGTGTCAAATAAATAAATAAAATCTTTAAAAAAAAAAGGGAGTATCTAAACTTTTAACAATGGTTATATTATAAGGGGTAGAACAGGAAGGGTGAAGAGAAGAGCATCTTAAATGCTTCCATTTATAAAAACACAAAATGAATTAAAAAAACCTAAAAAACTTGAGTCAAGAAAAGCTAAAAAGAGCAATGAGCCATTAAAACAGAATAGCTAATTGCTTGAGTTACATCTTAAATATATAAACTTCCCATTCCTAAATAGTTTGAGTTATTAAATTGCTGTGCCATCCCAGGAGAAACGTGTCACATGTACTAGAACAATCGCACTCTTTTCTGTCTCACTGACAGTATCGATATCCTCTTCCACTGTTCCTAAAATATCACATTCTATTGGCAGGTGTTCCTCCGCAGACTTGTATCACAAAAGTGGATTTACATTATCGGTTCGTCCTCTTTTTTCTTTTTGATTAGCATTCTACTACTCGTATAGCTTTTTCTCCTCAAGAATTTGAGCTGTCTACTCTTCCATGTTCTTTTCAAGATTTTTTTTTAAAGATTTTATTTATTTATTTGAAAGACAGAGATCACAAGTAGGCAGAGAGACAGGCAGAGGGAGAGGAAGGGAAGCAGGCTCCCTGCTAAGCAAAGAGCCCGATGCGGGGCTTGATCCCAGGACCCTGGGATCAGGACCTGAGCCAAAGGCAGAGGCTTAAACCCACTGAGCCACCCAGGCGCCCCTCAAGATTTTTTTTTTGTAATTTACTTGTCAGAGAGAGACAGAGAACACATAAGCAGGGGAGATAGCAGGCTCCCTGCTCAGCAGGCGACCTGATGTGGGACTCGATCCCAGGACCCTGGGATCATGACCTGAGCCAAAGGCAGACGCTTAACCCACTGAGCCACTCAGGCGTCCTTACTCTTCCATGTTCTGTTGAAGTTCCACCATTGCTTGCTTACATCATTTCCACCCTCCAACTACTGGCAATTAAGCTACCCTCTTCTTTTTATTTTTTTCTAAGTTTTACTATTATTTTTTAAGTAGGCCCCATGCCCAACATGGGGCTTGAACTCACAACCCCAAGATCAAGAGTCACATGCTTTACTGACTGAGGCAGCCAGGAGCCCCTGAAGCTATCTTATTCTTCATTCTACACTCCATATGTGTTCTTCAGAATGCACTTTAAAAGTCCTTTCAGACTTATTTAAACCTAGATGTTTTAAGTGTTTACAAGCAACTTCCAGAGTCCATTTGAATTAAGTATTTTAATTTGGACTGTAAAACAATAAATTAGCTGACTGGCATGACCGGGAGATACGATGATCTGATTTATGCAACTTTCTCATTAACATAGAAGTTGCTTTGCTCCAATACCTATGAAAATCAGCACATACAGATACTTGATTGACTTGTCTCACATCTACAGCATTCCAGATGAATCTCATCATCAAACAGAAGGCCAGGAAGTAAGTTTTCTTGGCTTCATCAGCTCTTTCTAGCTTCTATGGAGCTAGGGTGATGGGAAAACTGTGCTCTAGGGAGCCATGGTCCACCAGTAGAGGCATGTGTTGACAGAGAGAGATGAATGGGGCCCCAAGCTCTCTACCACCATCACCTCCCCACCCTGCCCTTCAATGAAAGCACTCTGTATTCATTTATTTTATAAGTTGAGTGTGCTCGTAACATTTCACTTTAAAAAAGAGAGAAATAATGGGGATGTTCTGCAGTGGGGACAGGGGAACACTATTCAAGAAACATACTGGTGGTGAGGCCCAGGCCTGACACAGCTTAGAGCCTTCACATCTGCAATCATGTGGGCCCCATCTTTCTGACCTCCCACGGGACAACACACCGAGAGCCTCTGAAGTCTTTTCAAGGAACCCCTGACCACATCACTGATATGTCAAAATGTGCTAGCTTTTGCCATGGTCCACAGCTGTCCCATAATAACTTCCTATGCGTGAGGGTTACGGGATGAGGAGATTAACGGTAAAAGGGTCTTTTTAGAAATTCAAGTTCCTTTAGGGCTGCCAATTATTCACAACTACCTTGGGGAAGTTGGTGACTCTTAACAGTTCCAATCGTTTTCCATAAAAAAGGGTAACCTTTGAAAGATACTTCCTTTGATCTTAGATTCCCACTTAAAGAAAGATGTCAGCACAGTTCAAAGGTACTTACTGAGCACCCGTGATGTGCCAGGCCAGAGAAACCAATAGACCGATTGCTCAAATCCTTGAAAACTAGAAAACCAGCATGTGATTCTTTTAAACACTACCCGAGTGAAGCATAATTTAGAGTGGATTAATAGATTGACAAAGCACAGGCAAGAAGAATTCATATCTACTTCTCAAAAATAGCTTGCAATTTCTCCTAGTAGTCATGACACAATAAGGAAATATATAACCATCGATAAAGCCCTAAGAGATGTAATGCATTTTTGAAAATCATTACCTCTCCCCTATTTGAATTCAGTCTTAAAAGACTTACCCATGATCACTGAAAGGCAAAGCAACTAGTGGGTTCTAAGAGATTGCCATGATTATGTCCGACGTAAGAGCTGAATGCTAGCTTTCACAATTACATTTTCTATCTATCTAGAGTTCTCTTGTATCATTTCCTAAACTGTTCATCCTTTGGGAAAAAACTTCTTTCCTTGGTCTTCTTTCCAATAACTCTTTCCAATAACTTCCAAACTCCTTCTTTCCAATAATTCTTCATTGGGGGAGGAGTATCTTGGGCACAGTAGACTGCTTAGCACCATCTCTGCTTCCTACACACTAGATGGCAGAAGCCTCCTCTCTCCAACCTGGTTGTGACAATCAAAATGTCTCTCAACATTGGCAATTGTCCCCCTGAGGATGGGGAGCAAAATGCCCCTCGTTTGAGAACTACTTTATTAGGCAATTATAATGCAAACATCTTGGGTGTGGAGGAAGAGGCGGAGCCAACCAGGAAAGGAGGGGAAAGAAATCATGCTCCAGGCAGAGGGAACAGCATGTGCAAAGTCTGAGGTAGGAGAAAGCTTGGCATGCCTGAGAAATGGAAAGGATGCCAGTACAGGTGGGAGCAGGGTGGGCCAAGTGAAGAGGGCAATGCAATGGACGGAGAAGTGGGAATGCTTCCCGAGGAGGTGACCCACTAGAGCCAAGGTGCAAAAGGAGAGTAGAAGCTACGTAGCTAGAAAAGAGGGAAGAGCATCTAAGGCAGAGAAGAATATGTGTAAAGGCCCGGTGCACGAAGAAGTAAAGGAGAGGCCAGTGTCACCGGGTCAGGAAAAGCAGGACTAGCTATGAAACTGGAGAGG